TAACTGGAAATTATAAAAGGAACCAAATACAAATTCTAGACTAAAAACTACAATAATTAAATTGTAAGATACATTAAGTGGGTTTAACAGCAAACTGGAGACAACAGAAGATAAATCCTGAGAAATTATCTGAGAGAAAAAAGACTGAGGAGAGCAGAGCCTCAGAGACCTGTGGAACAGTATCAAGAAGTCAAATATAACTTAAATCACAGAAAAAAAGAATAGGCCAGAAATCTATTTTTAAAATGGCCAAAGCTTCCCCAGTTTGGTGAAAAACAAAAAATTTACCTATTCAGTATTAATAAAACTAAACAGGAAAAATACAAACAAAATAGACCTATGCACATTCATAGTTAAGACAGCTTAAAAAGATACAGAAAAAAATCTTGAACGTAGCCTGAGGAAAAAAACACCTAGCTAGAACAAAAATATAAATGCCATCTAATTTCTCAGCAGAAATTATAGAGAACAGAAGACAATGGAACTGTATCTTTAAAGAACTGGAGGGGAAACTTTTCAGCCAGAATTCTTCAGCAAAAACTACTCTTCAAAAATCAAGTAAAATAAAGACACTTTTAGATAAAGAAAAACAGTATTTTTAGCCAGCCAACAGTATGGCAATTCTTCAAAAAATTAAAAATAGAATTAGCATATGATGCAAATATTCCACTTCTGGGTACATATCTAAAAGAACTGAACGGGACTCAAACAGATATTTACACACCCATGTTCACAGCAGCATTATTCACAAAAGCCAGAAAGTGGAAATAACCCAAGTGTCCATTGATAGATGAATGGATAAGCAAAATGTGGTACATATACATCCAATGGAATATTATTCCAACTTAAAAAGGAATGAAATTCCGACACATTCTACCACATGGATGAACCTTGAAGACATTAAGTATGCTAGGTGAAACAAACTAGATACAAAAGGACAAATACTGTATGATCCCACCTATATGAAGGATGTAAATTAGTGAATTCATGGAAACAGAAGTAGAACAGTGGTTACCAGGGGCTTCGGGTTGATGGGGAGGGGAGTTTCAGTTTGCGTTGATGAAAACTTCAACAATGTAACGCCACTGAATTTTACACTTAAAAATGGTTAAAGGGGTAAACAATAAGTACAAATCGTCCTTGATTTATGATGGTATTATTACGGCCCAATAAACTCATAATAGGTTAGAAACATCGTTAAGTCAACATAATACACCTAATCTATCATATATTATAGCTTAGCCTAGCCTACCTGAAACATGCTCAGAACACTTAACATTAGCCTAGTTAGACAAAATCATCTAACACAAAGCCTATTTTGTAATGAAATGTTGACTACCTCATGTAATTTATTGAGTACTTAAAGTGAAAAACAGAATGGTTACACGGGTACAGAACGGTTTTAAGTGTATCAGTTGCTTACCCTCGTGACTGAATGGTTTACTGGGAGCTGCAGCTTGCTGCCCAGCATCACGAGTACTGTACCACACAGGCTAGCCTGGGAAAAGATCAAAATTCAAAATTCAAAGTACAATTTCCACTGAGTGTGTATCACTTTTGTACCATACCCACTGAAAAATCCTAAGTCAGACCACCATAAGGTGGAGACCATCTGTATATATTTTACCACAATAAAAAAAAATTAATCAACATACTTAACCATATTCAGAGAATAAAAAAGAAAAACCAGGGGCTTCCCTGGTGGCACAGTGGTTGAGAGTCCACCTGCCGATGCAGGGGACACGGGTTCGTGCCCCGGTCCGGGAAGATCCCATATGCCGCGGAGAGGCTGGGCCCGTGAGCCATGGCCGCTGAGCCTGCGCTCCGCAACAGGGGAGGCCACAACAGTGAGAGGCCCGCGTACCACAAAAAAAAAAAAAAAAGAAAAAAAGAAAAACCATATGATTGTTTCAATAGGTACAGAATAAGATTTGAATAAATTATACCCATGATTTCAAAAAAACCTCTCAGCTAATTAAGAACAGAATTTCCCCTGTGTTATATGAAAAACCTACAATTCTGAATACTGAAATGCTGGACATTTCCCCCCTAAAATTGGGAAGGAAGCAACGATGTCTACTCTCAAAAATTCTATTCAAAATTTTATTAAAGGTCCCAGTTAGTGCAATTAAAAATAAGAAATGCAAGGTACAAAAATTGAAAAAGAAGTAAAACTGTCCCTATTTGCAAACAAAATGACTATGCATGTAGAAGATGCAAAAGAATTAACAAAAAGATTATGAATCTTTACATTTAACCAGGTCTCAAGATACCAAATCAATATACAAAATTTATTGTATGTCTATGCACTAGCAACAAATGAAAAAGAAAATTTAAAAACAATTCCATTTACAACTGCATCATATAACATAAAATATCTAATAAATTTAACAAAAAAAATGCAAGACCTCATCAAAAACTATAAAACATTGCTGAGATAAAGATGACTTAATAAGTGAAGAGATGTCAAGCTTCAAGATTGTCAAAATGTAACTTCTCTTCAAAGTAATCTATAAATTCAACACAATCCCAATCATAGTCCCAGCATAATCATAATCCTTTTTATATAAAGTGACAAGCTCATTCTGAAATTAATAATGAAAACAAAGGTCCTAGAATAGACAAAACAATTTGGGAAAACAACAAAAGCTAGAGAATTTACATTAACTAAATTTGGGACTTACTCTAAAGCTATTCAGTGATTCTCAGTTGGAGGCAATTTTGTACCTCAGAGGACATTTGGCAATGTCTAGATACATTTTTGGTTTTCACCATGGGTAGGATGCTACTGGGATCTAACAGGTAGAGGACAGGGATACTACTAAAATTCTATAATACGCAAGACAGCCCCACAACAACCTGGCCCAAAATTTCAATAGTGCCAAAACTGGGAAACCCTAAACTACAGTAGTCAAGACAATGTGGTATTGACATCAGGATTTTCAAATAGATTAATGAAACAGAAAACAGATTCCAGAAGACGACCCCCGCTAGGTCAACTGTCTGACAAAGGCAACAAAGCAATTCAATGGAGAAAAAAGTGTTTTCAACAAAAGGTTCTAGAACAAGATAGCCATATGTATAAAACTGAACTGTGATTCCCACCTCACACCATACATGTCATTAGTTCACGATGGGTCATATACCTAAATAAAAGCTAAAATGATAAATCCTAGAAGACAACATACCTTCACAACCTAGCAAAAGTACTATCTGTGAAAAGACTTAAAAGCAAAATATATAATAGAACTAAAAGATCCCTACAACTCAATAAAAACTCAACCCAATTTAAAATATGGACAAAAAACTTGGACATTTCACAAAAGACAACACACAAATGGCTAACAAGTACACGAAAAAAGTAGTCAATACCAATATTCATCACAGAAATACAAAAGTAAAACCAGAAAGAGAAATACAAATTAATTCCACAAACTACATACCCATTAGGACTAAAATTTACAAGTCTGAAAACAAACAACTGTTGGTGAAAATATGAAATGACCCAAACTCTCACATATTGCTAGTGGGTAGGTAAAATGTTACAAAAGATCTAGCAATTTCTCATAAAGTTAAGCATACACTTAGCCTATGACCCAGTAATTCTTCTCCTAGGTATTTACCCAAGAGAAATAAAAACATACCTCTACAAAAGGCCTCATGTAAGAATGTTCTGCTTTATTCATAATAGCGAATATGTCTGTCAACAAGTGACACACTGTGGTATATTCATACAACAGATTACTACTCAGCAATAAAAATAATGATACCTGCAACAACCTAGAATAATCTCAAATATTATGTAAAACAAGCCAGCATAAAGAGTATGTACTGTATGATAGCATGTATATCCAATCGCAGAGCAGGCAAAAGTAATCTATGGTTTAAAAGAAAAAAGGAAAAGAACAGCAGATGCCTTGGAAGGGCAGGAGGCGGTGGGGGGGGTGGTGCAGGGAGAAGACATGAGTGAGGAACACGGGAATCAAGTGGAAAGGTTCACTGTGGACATTTCTGGGATGACAGAAATGTCCAATATCTTGAGTGATGAATCTTACATGATATAAACATTTATCAAAATAAGCAGTTTTGTGCATTATGTAACTTTATTTTAAAAAACTATTTAAAAAAAAATCTAGGGGGCTTCCCTGGTGGCGCAGTGGTTGAGAATCTGCCTGCTAATGCAGGGGACACAGGTTCGAGCCCTGGTCTGGGAGGATCCCACATGCCGCGGAGCAACTAGTCCCGTGAGCCACAACTACTGAGCCTTCACGTCTGGAGCTTGTGCTCCGCCCCAAGAGAGGCCTCGATAGTGAGGGGCCCGCACACCGCGATGAAGAGTGGCCCCCACTTGCCACAGCTAGAGAAAGCCCACGCACAGAAATGAAGACCCAACGCAGCCAAATATAAATTAATTAATAAACTCCTACCCCGAACATGTTAAAAAAAAAAAAAAAAATGCCCTTAAGGGCATTTTAAGCCGCCAGCTTTGAGCGAAAGCAGTCAGCATGACATCATTTTCCGCAGAAAACTGCATGGTGTTGGGTGTTAAAAGGATCGCTCTGGCAGTTCTGTGGAGAATGGACCTGGGAGCGGGAGCGGGGAGCAGAGAGGACAGGTGGGAGCACCAGGTGAGAGATGCTCGGGGCTCAGCCAGAGCCCTTCTAGGGGGGAGTCGGAAAGAAGTCGAGGATTTTGCGCCTGAGCAACTCTCTTCCCGAGATGAGGAAAGGTGCACGAGGTCTTCCTACTGTTACGAAAATGACTTTCATCTCCAGATGCCCTCCAAGGGTCTCAGGGTCCCCCGGGGGGACCAGTGCACACGCTGAGAAGCACTGGTGTGGAGAAAGGTTCCCGTTTGTGAACTCGACGGAAAACGCCCCGGAAGGAGAGGCCTGGGGGGGGGAGGGGCAGATCGGTCCCAGAGACGCTGAGCAGCAGTTTCGTCACCATGAACAATTCCCGGCGATAAACAGAATCTGGGTAATAATACAAAGTCTAACCTTTCTTTTCCTCTGTGCTGAGTCCAGTCTCTTTCGCTCACAGCGGGCCGCGGACACCGGGATCCCACCCGGCCCTTCAACCCGGAGCTCCCCGTGGGAAACAACGGCACTTGCACCTCAGTTCGGGGCCGTGCGCAGAAGCGCCGCGCACGGCACTCAGCCCAAGATGGCGGCGGCGAGCCGTGTGCAGAGACGCTGCGCCCGACACTGAGCTCTCGGGCCGCCCCCTCAGAACCCCGCCCCTCCCCATGAGGCCCTATAAAGCAGCCCTGCACCTGCGTGTCGGGGAAGCACATGCTCTAGAGTAAGTACGCACCTGTCCGTACTTTGATCCGAGAACAACGCTTTCCTTTGCTTCTGAACCGAACTCGGTCTCTTTCTGTTGGCTCCAAGGACACCGGGCAGGAGGGCCCTCATTGGGGTCCCACTCGAAAGGGTCGGTAATCGTTATATATACGAGTTTGCAGTTCCTAAGATAAATTAGGATTTCATTCAACTTTTGCAAACTTTTACAGAGTTAGCCGATATTTAACAGTTTGTTGGAGGATCCATTTCTAAGGACAATACCGTAAAGATCAAGACAAAAGATCTCAAAGCCTTAGCCTATAATTCTCAGTGCTGATGCCTCTGCTGCACCGTTCTCAATGGCGTGTGGTCTGGTCAGCCTTGGGGGACCCTGAGACCCTTGGAGGGCATCTGTGAGATGAAAATTATCTTCGTAATAACAGGAACACATTATTCACCTTTCATCATTCTCATATGTCACAATAAATTGAGTGTCATACAGAGTGAAGCAAGTCAGAAAGAGAAAACAAATATCATATATTAACACATATATGTGGAATCTGAAAAAATTGGTATAGACGATCTTGTTTGCAAAGCAGAAATAGAGACACAGATATAGAGAACATATACATATGGATACCAAGGAGGAAGGGGGGTGGGATTGAAGTATATACACTATTGATACTATGTATAAAATAGATAACTAACGAGAACCTACTATGTAGCACAGGGAACTCTACTCAATGCTCTGTGGTGACCTAATTGGGAAGGAAATCCGAAAAAGAGGGGATGTATGTATATGTATAGCTGATTCACTTTGTTGTACAGTAGAAACTAACACAACATTGTAAAGCAACTATACTCCAATAAATAAATAAATGAACTGAGTGTAGGAACAGATAGGAGAATACTGTTGCTTCTGTTAAGCTGCGATATTGTAATATGATAAGAAATACATATTTAGTCTTTGTCCCCGGCTCCTGGCACAAGACTTTTATTTTAAATCCTCAAGGGTTTCCTGAGTGATAGGGGTGAGAGGAGCATCTTTTGTTTTACAGTATGAGCTCCTTCCAACTGTACCTGGGTTTATGCTAATGAGGTGACTCTTAGTGGTCCCCAACCAGCCTCAGGGTGGAAGCTGGTTGCCAGAGGGACAAACCACGTGATTAAAGGGTTGAGACTCTCAGCCCCAACTCTCCAACCTCCAGGCAAGGGAGAGGGGCTGGAAATTGAGTTACTCACCAGCGGCCAATGATTTACTCAATCATGAGTGTTTTTTTTTTAATATCTTTATTGGAGTATAATTGCTTTACAATGGTGTGTTAGTTTCTGCTTTATAACTAAGTGAATCAGTTATACATATACATATATCCCCATATCTCCTCCCTCTTGCGTCTACCTCCCTCCCACCCTCCCTATCCCACCCCTCTAGGTGGTCACAAAGCACCGAGCTCATCTCCCTGTGCTATGCAGATGCTTCCCACTAGCTATCTATTTTACGTTTGGTAGAGTATATATGTCAATGCTACTCTTCTTAATGAAACCTCTTTTCCAGCTTTGGGATTGGTCAACACACGGATGTGGGAGGGCAGTGTGCCCAGAGGGGGCGTGGAAGCTCTGCACACCCTCCTCCCCACTTGTCCCTGTTTGGCTGCTCATTTGTACCCTTTATAATAAACCAATAAACGCAAGTTTCCCTAACTTCTGTGAACCGTTCTAGAACATTATCAAATACAGGGAGGGGGTTGTTGGAACCCTCATTTATAGCCAGATGGTTAGAAGTACAGGTAGCAACCTGGGACTTAATTGGTGTCAAAAGTGGGGGCAGTCTTGTGGGACTGAGCCCTTAACTTGTGGGATCTGATGCTAATTCCACATTAAGTAGAGTCAAAATTGCAGTGAATTATAGGACACCCGGCTGGTGTCAGAAAAATTGCCTGATGTGTGGAAAACCCACACATCTGGTATCAGAAGTTTTGTGAGTGCATGAACAAAGGAGAAACACAGGGGTGTGTTCTTTTCCCCAAGAAGCCCATAATATGTTATGTGTGTGTATTTCCCAGTTCTGTCCTCTGAGAGAATCTAGAAACACAGGCACCCCAAAAGCAAAGTGCATAGACCGTCCAGATCTTGATTTCTAAAAACTATTACATGTTCACTACAGAAACCAGGGGTCCTTAGAGAAATGGTCAGGGCAGGGGGCCTACAAGGTGGGCCTGAAAAATCTTGCTGTGTCAGAGGAAAAGAATGGTTCAAGCTGATGGGTTTGTGTGGGAAGGTCACAGGAGCTGCTTGAAAAAGCCCCCACTGGCCACATTTAGGATGATTGGAGCCTGAAAAACAATATACTTGAAAAAGGAAAAATCCACGATTCTACACTGATAATAATAGAGAAGAAAAGAAAAATTACTTTTGGCTTAGATGATACAAATATGATGAAAAACTTTAAAAAAATGAATTTTCCAAAATCAGGGTAGTGGTTGTCTACAGGGAAAGGAGGAAGGGAGCTGACTAGTGCGTAACACAATTTGCTCTATTTACGTGTTTTATGGATGTTTCTGTATGTTATTTTTTCTTAAAGCAAGCAAAAAAAAAAAAAAAAAAATCTGCCTGCCAATGCAGGAGACACGGGTTCTAGCCCTGGTCCGGGAAGATCCCATATGCTGCAGAGCAACTAAGCCCATGCGCCACAACTACTGAGCCCATGTGCCACAACTACTGAAGCCTGCGCACCCGGAATCCGTTGCCCGCAACAAAAGAAGCCACCGCACAGAGAAGCCCGCACACCACAACAGAGTAGCCCCTGCTGGCCGCAACTAGAGAAAGCCCACGCATAGCATCGAAGACCCAACGCAGCCAAAAATAAATAAATAAATAAATTTTTAAAAATGATTTTAGAAATAAATATTAATACAGCTTAACACAAAAAGTTTACAACACACAGATTACAAGGAATTTTCTCATAGTTTATCTCCTGCCGGGAGGATTACAGGTGATTTTTCTTTCTTTTTTATTTTATAATGATGTATTGTAATAAAAGTAATTTAAAATAATACAGCTTTCACGGTAAAAGAAGGAACATCTTAAAATATTCATTGTATGAATCCTATCAGTACTAAAACAAACCAAAATTGGACTCTATCCTGTAAGTACTGATATTTGATTAGAAAAATGTAATAACTTTATCCCTCAAAGCTCTCCAGATCTCACCTGAAGAGTCACTTCCTCTTACTTCTCATTCTGTATTAGGTTTTTTTGTTATATGCTCTTAAAAGACCAGGTTTCTTTCTCTTCTCAGTATTTCAATTGTAATTACAGGCTCTTGTACTATTATTTGATTCATGTCTATCTATTCCATTAGTCTGTACGTTCAGCAAGAGCAGGAACCATATGCTTTCACTGACCACCACATCCCTAATGCCCTGCACTGTGCTTGACACATGGGTACTCAGTATTTTTTCAATTGACAAGGGATAAAAAGAGTCATTGGCTTCTGTCAATAAACTGTCCATATGGCTTATAACATACTGACAAGAAATTTCATTCAAACATTAAACTCAAGGTTTAAAAGACTCGAAGTCTTAACATTTTCCCACAAATTGTAAAACACTGGTTTTACTCTAGAAACAAGAGCTTAAAAGTCAAAACTCAAAGTTCCTACTTTGTGGTAGTTTTCAAAGCTGTGTTAACAATTACTTCCAAATAAGGAGCTAAAGGATCTAATAGTCCACTTCAGGATACTTTAAATATTTAGCTAGCGGAAAGTGATCATTTTTCCATTAAATACTCTTGTTTCCTCTTGTTTCCTCATCCCACTCTCCAAGATTCAAATTACATTTTCTAACTACCTTTAAAACATTAACTTATTATTTCAAATTCAACAGGTCTAAAACTGTATTCTTCTCACTTTGCCACTTTCGTATCTTCATTCTCTCAGGCAAGAAACTGCAATTCCATGTCTGATTTTTTTTTCTACTTGTACATTTCATCAAGCCTATCATCGACTTCTTTGAAATGTCTAACAATCTTCCCTCCTAGCCTCTCTCCCCAGTCTCCAAATCACCAACCTAATCAAAGTAACTTCATTTTACCTCATCTCCTCAAACCACTCTCATAGCACTTTGCCACTTTAAAATCAAGGGTCCCTCACTACTGCTCTTTAAAGTTCTCAAGTGTGGTCTCCTGATCAGCAGTAGCAGCAGCATCACCTGGTTGCTTGTTAGAAATGCAAATTTTTGAATCTCAGGCACACAATCATCAACTATGATTCCGACACACACTGAAGTTTGAGAATCAGTGGTCTTAAAGCACCAAATTTAGATTCCTTTACTTAGCTTTGGAAGCTGTCTATAACCTGGTCCTATCTTCCTTAATAATATTCTTTACTTCCCTTCAACAAACAGCCTTCACTCCAATAAAGACATTTCATTAAATCCCAAAGGTTTTCACCTGTCTCTGTTCACGTCAGGACCTTCTCATATTTAACCAATTACTTTCCACTTTCCAGGCCTGGCACATTTCCTATCTTTTCTATGAAAATACCTCCAACAATTATAATCCACAGCAATAGCATCCTTAAAAATAATTTAACTATTTGCTGTTTTGTTTTTTTAACACATGGATCAAGAGTTTTATTTTGGCTTTGTTCTTCTCTGTTAGTATAGTTCTGAACACACAGTACCTGCTCAATAAAGCCTTGCCACTGTGCTTGTGTCTTACGGACTTTTTTTTTTTGGGGGGGGTTGGGGGGGGGGGGCGGGGGAAGGGACCACAGGTCAAACAAGTATCCCAGCAGGGATCTCTTCTATGCCGTTTAATGACATGACATTCACATCCAGATGGATTTCCTCTCCCAACCAGAATGATTATAAAATGTTCCAACAAGCTAACTACTGACCTCAACACTCAGAAAACCTGAAGGGCCTCTGGGACATCAAACTGATAGCACCTGGATCCAAGCTATCACTCCTCCCCAAACTTGGCCTTCAACTAATTCCAGCGATCCTACAGTTTCACGTGGCTGTTTCGACTGGGAGTTTGATGGCACCGGAAGCCTGGGCACATTACCCACTGAAATGGAACAACTTGAATCAAAGCCTTCCCAAGCCAGACGCGGACTATTTCGAAAGGCTATTCTAAAAGACAAGATGGAGCTGGTGGGAGTGGCAGACGGACAACCACCAGGACTCTGAAGAAAGGCCTCCTCCTGAAAAGGACGTACACGGCAAGAAAAAAAGAAAGAATGAAAAAAGCACCTGCGAAGTTTATTGCTCACTATAACAAAATGACGTACACGGAAAAGAACGCAGGAACGGAAGTGGTAGCCTGGGAACTGTTTCTGCGGGCGGGCAGCAACGAGAGAACCAAAGGTCTAAGGAGAGTGGCCGGAGAGCGGAGAAAACTAAACTCCTCCGGGGTTTGGCTGATGTGGGCGGGCCGGGGCTGGTCAGACGCGAGACGCAGAAGAGGCTTGCGGCCGACCACAGCAGGGAGGAGGCGGAGACCCGGACCCACGGGTCTTACTTTTCCCGCAGAAGTGGCGTCTGGGTTGGGGGAGTCTATGCTGGGGGAGTAGCGGGGGGAGACGCCGGGTCCCAAAGTGCTGGTAACCAATGATAACGACTCACCTTTCCCATTCCGAGGCAGTGGTGAAGTCCGTGATCTCAAATACCTCGGACTCGGGCTGCGGGAAGTGAAAGGAAAGAAAGAGATTGAGCTCCGGGGCGCTGACACGGAAGAGCAAACTTATACAGAGACAGGGATACGGAGGGAGTAAACACCTCACCTCACTGTCGGCCGCCATCTTGAAGAGCGCCGAGGCGGGCGCTAGGGCTGCCGGGAAGAAGAGCAGGAAGGCGTGGTGGGGGCGGCGGGGAGGAGAGCCGAGAGCTGGCGGAGGCGGGGAGGGGAAGGGCGGGGCCTCCGCGCAGCCCCGCCCTCGGAGTCCCGCTAGGAAAACTCTTCTCAGGCTGAAATCATTTGATTTTTCTTTTTTAATGTTTTTTGTTCCTGAGGAGGAAGAATTTACTCTGCCCACAAGTCCCCGTTCTTTGGCTGATTTAATACAATTTAAAATTTTCCTGTAGAGCAATGAATTCAGGAAGGGAACAGAAGCAAAGAGGTAAGACAAGGCCCTAGACTCATGTGGGTACCAGTGTATTAAAAAACCTAAAACACATTGCTTGTGTTTCTGTTTTTCTTTCCACCTCTGTTGATTGACTGCAAGGCACTGAGCTGGATGCCATAATATCCACCCTCCCTTACCCCTACCCCTCAGAGAGTTTAGTTTGGGTAAGTCATCAAATAAAATCATTATGCCATTTATCTGGTTTCTGAGAAGAGCAACATGCTGTGCAATGAACACAACACTTTTTAAGTCACTGAGGAACAGAAGGAGTGCCAGCTAGCAGTTAGTAATTACATCTCATACATTCTGAAATATTTACAGAGGAAATCATACCATGTCCAGGATTTGTTTCAAAATAAGGGGAGGGAGGAGTGGATAGAGCTAGAAATAAAACAAGATTAGCCATGAGTGGATTATTGTTTAAGCCACTGATGGTTACCTGGGTATTTATACTATTCCCTACTTCTGTTAGGCCTGAAATTTTTCGTAATTAAAAGCTTTTTAAAAGTTTTTTACAGGGCTTCCCTGGTGGTGCAGTGGTTAAGAATCTGCCTGCCAATGCAGGGGACATGGGTTTGATCCCTGGTCCAGGAAGATCCCACGTGCCATGGAGCAACTAAGCCCATGCACCATAACTACTGAGCCTGCACTCTAGAGCCCACAAGCCACAAGTACTGAGCCCGTGTGCCACAACTACTGAAGCCCGCAGTCCTAGAGCCCATGCACTTCAAGAAGAGAAGCCACCCCAATGAGAAGCCCATGCACCTCAACAAAGAGTACCCCCCCACTCGTCACAACTAGGAAAAGCCCGTGCACAGCAACGAAGACCCAATGCAGCAAAAAATAAATAAATTTTAAAAATAAATTTTTTTTTAAGTTTTTTAAAAATTAAATCTCATTTACTGATTTTCTGCAACTCACAAGAAGGGATTCGTGGGTAGAGGACTCAGAAATACAGCTTTAGCAATTAAAATGTTTAATCTTAAGAGCAAGAGATAACAAAAATTTAGTGATGTAGATGATGCAGATGAGTTAACTTGGGTCAGAAGAATTTGATAATTATTGCCAGGACCAAGACTTGAATCCCTGTCTCTTAATATTCTTTCTAGTTTCTGTTCACTACACTAGTGGGAGTTGGGGGTTACTACTGCAGCAATCTTTCCCAAGAGGTCTGAACTTCCACCTTCATTCATTTATAAGCATTTATTAAATACCTACTATAAGCCAACCATTATGGTAGACGGCAGGGAAATGAAGACATACGGCAGATACAATCCCTGATTTCAAGGAACTCAAGATCAAGTAGGAAAACTGGAAATTACTGCACAAACAGAAAGAGGAGATGCTACACGTGTCAGTATCACTGTTAGCAACATGGAGGTCATTGGTGACCTTGACAAGAAGAATCTTGGGGGCCAGCTGAAGGATAAGGTGAACGCAGCCAGGTTGGGGGCAGGGAAGGCTTTTAAGGACAGAGAATAGCATATCCAGAGGCTTAAAGGTAGGAAAGTCTGATCTGTCTAGTGAGCTGAAAGAGGACACTTAGAGCACAGTGGTTGCAATGAACTTAGAGAGGTAGGCATGGGCCAGACCATATAGGGCCTTCTGTATGGCCCTTATGTGAAGCACAATGGACCTCACTAAAATGTTTTAAGCAAGAGAGTATTGTGATCCGATTTACATTTTGCAAAAATCTGGATGCTACAGGAATGGATTGCGGAGGGGGACAAAAGAAGAAATAGGAACAGCTCGTGACTATTAAAGCATCCAAAGAGAGATGATGTGGAGGCTTTGACTAGGGGGGTCAGCAGACAAGGTAAACTGAGTTGATATGTATTTTGGAGATACAATAGACAAGACTTGATGATGGATTAAATGCCGGGATAAGGGGTAGGTAGGAATCAAAGATATTTTGCAAGATTCTGACCTAAGCAACTGTGTGAGGATGATGCCATTTTCTGAGATGAAGATGGGAAGGAGCAAGAAAACTAGAGTTTGGTTTGGGAAGCGTTAAGTTTGACGTGCTTGTAAGATATTCAAGGGGAGCTGTAAAGGAGAACATTTGGGTGTAAGAATAGAACTCAGAGGCAAGATCTGGGGTAAAGATACGCACTTGGGAATATTTTAAATTACAAGAACAAGAGAATATAGAAAGAAGAAGAGGAGCCTCATAAAAAGCTTGAAGAAATTTTGTATTTAGAGAATGGATAAAGGAAAGTATATAGTGAGAGAGGAAAGGGGTGGGTAGAGAAATAGGAAAACAAAGAAAGAGTGATGGCATAGAACTCGAGAAAGGAGAATGTTTCAGGATGGTAAATATTGACTGCTGCTAGGACTTCCCTGGTAGTCTAGTGGTTAAGACTCTGTGCTCCCAATGCAGGGGTCCCAGGTTTGATCCCTGGTCAGGGAACTAGATCCCGCATGCTGCAACTAAGAGCTCACGTGCTGCAACTAAAGACCAGGCGCAGCCAAATAAATAGATAAGTAAATATTTTTTTAAAAAAATATTGATTGCTGTTGATAAAGCAGGTGAAAGAGGAATATAGGGTCAAGGGTGATTGTTGCTGTTGTTTCTTGGGTTTTGTTTGTCTTTAAGGTAGAGGATAGTGGCTATGTTTGGATGCTGATTCGAATAATCTAGGAGCATGTGAGAGAGACTGATCGTGGAGGGGAGATGCAAGACTGAAGTTCTTGATAAGGTGAGAGGGAGGAAATCCACAGAGCTGGCAGTCACACAACCCCAGGGGGCAGCATTCACATGGCATGCTGAAGTCTTGCTTCAGGAGGTGCCACCCACAGAAAGCACCTTGTGGACAGCGCTCCCTGGAGTTGTGGAGCAAGGTGGTACCAGGAATTCAGAGCACATGTAGCAGGAGGGAAAGAAGGATATGTTGTGAGGTTGGCTTTTCTTGAGAAGGGAAAGAAGGGAGGAAAAAGCTGGAGACAGACATAGACATTGGGACAGTGGTACATATAAAAGGAAAAGAGCTGTTCACATAAAACTTTTTAAGGTTCTCTCCGAGTGAAATAAGTTTGTAGGTTTTAAGGTCAAACAAATCCAGGTTCATCCACTTACTAACTATATGCCTTTGGGCAAATTACATAACTCCTCTAAACCTCAGTTTCTTCATTAGTAAAATAGGATTTGTAATACTTCTTTACCTCATAGGACTGTGGCAAAGATTAAGTTCTCTGTACATATGTAGAATGGTTAGCACAATGTCCTGTAGTAGGTGATCGATTATGATAGTCGCAATTATAATGAATGCTTTATATAATGAAAGCCGTAAAGTGCTACTCACATGTAAGGCACTACTCTTTTTCCCTGCTTGCTTAACCATGAAGAATTTTCTGTACATACCAAAATCAGAAACTAAAAAAGCCACAAACACTTTGCTGCATGAGGTTAAATTTCAGAAACTGTATGAAACAGTGTATGATCACGTTGCTAGGTAAAGTTTTCTTCCAAGATATTTTTGGTTCCTTGTCTCCTCCCTGGAGAAACTTTTAAAATAAGTTATTTGTTAAAGTGAAGTGTGAAGCCAGGATGCTAATAATGTAAAGTACTCTGGAGAGACACGCTTTTATTAGATTTTCACTGGTTCACAAAGCAGAAAAGATTTTGTTTCTTCAGTGTTGAGAGCTATTTTGCTACAAGTCCAAAGGCAAGGGCTTTTCCATGCAAGTGTACTCCCTCTCTGGCTTAACTTTCACTTATTTCAAGGTGTTACCAATAATGGCCACGGGAAGAATTTTGACGCATAGGCAATTTAAGAGATTAGAAGCCTGGAAATGTCACCCTAGGCTTAGTCCCCAGAGGAATGTAGGGGCATCACAGTTTAATTAGGTCTTAGTGAGAGAGCACACATTGTGAGAGAAGCAACAGCTGTGGGATTACACCATCCTCACCTGCCTTGATGCCCTCAGTGCAAAGAGAATCGGGAATTTTCTACGATACAGCTGTGAGACCAGTTGCAATAGAAGGTACAGCTGGAAGAGGAAGACACAATATGAGAACAGAATATGAGAAATTCTCTAAATCAAAGTTATGAAAATTATCAGCATTTATTCATTCATTAATTCAATAATATTTATCAAGTAGCCACTGTCATGGCATGTCATGGTCAATTGTATGGAGTGATTCAAAGAATAATAATCCCTGCCCTCAAGGTGTCCACAGTCTGAGATAAGACATGAAAAACTATAATATGATTTAGAAAGGGATGCATGATGATTATCCAACTTCTTAAAGCTCTTTGTAAAATTAGTAGTGGGAAAATAATCAAGTGACCTTTCTGGACACACACACGCAATATCATATATCCTAAATAAGTAGTCCACTATTTCTTGAACTAGAAAGAAGTACACTCACCAAGGCAGGAATCTCCAGAGAATTTCAAGAGAAGTGATGAAACCTTCCTTCACTCACCATTCATTCACTCCTTCCTTCATTCAATAAACACCTGTTAAAAGCAGCTATTAGGTGCCTGGTGCTGTTTTAGAAAATGGGAAATGAAAACTTAAAAACAAGGTGCCTGCCTTCAGGAAGTTTCAAGTACAAATTAATTGAAGTCCTTCTAGATGATAATAATAAGTCAAGAACAGCTAGTTCTAATTCCTAAAGTTGTAACTTAACTTCTCATCTGGTAGATCCAGAAAGGACACTACCTGTTGCC